GATTTACAAAACCTTCACACAAATAGAGCGTAATATAATCTATAATTGTTGCTGACATGGCAACTACATGTGAACGTACACATTTCTATTTAAGGCATGGATCTAATTCTTACTCATGGACAACACTGTTAATAAACAAAACGATGGTTCAAAGTGCTGTTTCACAATTAACGTGAAAGAATTTAAAGTTTTTTCTATCTACATGGAACAAAGAATAAACACAAATCCCAAAGGGACACGCATTTTGTACTGTTAGCTGATTTTTTTCCTGTTGTAATTTGTGTATAATTTGTTTCTGCTATGTGTATACTAAAGGAACAGAATTCTAAAGCACTAGAGTTCTTGTGCAGGCATCAGAACTATGGAAATAAATGTGTATCTTTGTATGTGCGTGTCGTTCTTTTACAAGCTATTATAGTATTTATTAATAACACTCAATTGTTCAGCGAGTTATTTTATTTATTTATAGCACGAATTCCTTATCACGATTAGTTAATTTGCAGCTCAGAGTTTGAATGGACCGTGGTTTATGCAGTTTTTTTTTTTGCCAGAAATACTGAGAATTAATTCAAACAAGATAATCTTCCTAGACTATGCAGATCAAAACAACAAGAACAAAAAGAAATCCATCTTACTAAACATTTTCTCCTGGCTCTAACACATTTAAAAACATATTAAAGGACCTATCTGAAGTACCTCGAATGTTCAAATCGCCAGCTTTTGGGTAACTCACACAAGTTATTGGAAGCCTGAGGTTTTGGATAGGTTAACTAAACTTGAATTAAGTGCCAAATACTCCTCTGCCCATTGATGAGTCTTCTTGTAAAACACATGTAGACCACTTTCAAACACCTCTGGATTACACTGCATGCCTACACAAAGCTGATTCTCCTCTCGGGTTAGTGTAATTAGCATTGACTTTATTAAAATTAACAGAAGACTTACTCTGTATTTCAGGGCAGCAGTGAGTTTGAGGTCACATGTAGTATCTGCTAACCTACATGGCATACATTTCCTCTCCCTTCTAGCAGCACCGCCCTCGCACAATATACATATTTGAATTTCCTTGCAATCTCCCAGGGCATTGACTATAATTATTTGCATCCATTGCCTCCATATTAACAGCAGCTTCTGTATTAGTATGCTGGCAAATTGCAGATTAATCAGTTGAGTTAATAATCACTTAATCATTATTCAGCCCTGGCTTTACAAAATTTAAAAAAATTTCTTCATTGTTCCAAAAAAAATTTCATTTTGAATTAAAGTGTCCAAAATCTTAGTAAGGTCATTCACAGAGGTATTGCACATTGCAACGGAAGGCTGTCCTTTCACTAGTAACATTGAGCAGGGACGTTATCATTGCTAATTAATATCTAAAGTCTCCACAACCTACTATAGATTTGTATTTGCAGCTTACCTTTCATGTCTACTTGACAGTTTACTCATCTTTCTAAATTTCAAATAGTGCAATGTAATTTCCTACCATTGATAATGATTTGCAGCCACATGGGATCACAGCACCACAGAGGATGCCCCTTTAGTAACCTAGAAAAAAAGGAGGGTAGTAGAACTGTTAAAAAAAAAAAAAAAAAAAAAAAGTCAAGAAACTGTCTAAAAACAAAACTTTAATATACATACTTTAAAAGTGGAATAGTACTTTGGAAGAAGGTATCTTGCACTGGAATTCAGTAACATTTTGTTTTCTTAGCACAAAAATTAATTAAATGAATTTTATTTGTGGGATTTTTTTTTTCCTCTCCATTAATCCACCTTGAATTGGTCTTTTCCCTTTTACAAAGATGATAACAATTCAAACTTGTCCATTTTCCTCTGCTTTCATAACAACTGTGTATTTGGTTTCTCAGATGTCATTTTCCATACATTATCTGATTAAAAACAAAAGAGCGCAGTGAACGAATAAGAAATTCTATCAAGTTCACGCAGTAGCAGCTGAAGATAATCTTACTAAAATTGAACCTAAGAGCAGGTGATGGGGACTCAGATGGAGGCCATAACAATCCACTGCTATTTGTCACTAAAGCAAGCAAAACAACAAAATTTCTCCTCTCTCAGAAATGCAGCTGCAAAACACACACATTCTGTCAGATGAAGGGACAAAGCTGCGTAGTTCTAACTTCAGGGATGAAATACGTATTTCATGTAACTGCACTGCTGAACAGCAATTCCAACCAACATACCAGAGTAAATAGTTTCCTGACATTTTGGAATAAAACTGATAGATGGTGTATTGCTCAAATACAGACAATATTTAAATATTTATTTATTTATTACACTATAGTAGAGTATTTCAGATTAAAAGAAAATACTTCAGTACACCAGAAGTGAACCTCTGCCATCACATAAAGATCTCTGCTAGCTCCAAGTGTAGATTCAGACCTCCACTGCTCTACAATTTAACATTATGTAAGGCGTTATTTGTGGAAAGCACTGCATGGACAAACTTTTTTCTCAGTATTGGCAAGAATAATTAGCACAATAATTATTCAACCTTTCTAGGCTCTGTAAAAGAGTATATATCATTCTAGGGCCCTGAAAGCTTCTACTGATGCAAAGCAACTCTGCAATACAATCGAGTATCAATTGAGGAATTACTTAGTATGTAGAAGTAAACAAATGAGATTGATTAACACAGCTGAAAAGATCTTTTTTTCAAAGAATACTGTATGAAGAAATACAATCAAAGAATCATAGAACATCCTGGGTTGCAAACGACCTCATCTAGTTTCAACGTCCCTGCAGTGGGTAGAGTCACCAACCACCAGAGCAGGCTGCCCAGAACCACATCCAGCCTGGCCCTGAATCCAGGCATGCGGCATCCACAACCTCCTTGGGCAAACCTATTCCAGTGTGTCACCACCTCTGTGTGAAAAAATTCCTCCTAGTATCTAAACTAAATCTGCCTTGTATTAGTTTAAAACCATGCCAAACAGTTTTAAACAAATAGTACTGTTAAATCATATGTAAACTGTAATGAGTATTTCTTTTGCTCCTCTGAAATTAAAAATCCACAAAAATGGCTGCAAAGAAAAAAAGTTATGTTCTTCTTCAAAAGGGTGATAAAAATGTGGGGCCTACTTCATCCTGTATGAGTACGGATATGGATGCAGTGACAACATTAAATAAGAAGAACAGATTCATGACAGACACTCGTAGTCAAAAGTACAAAAATATGTGCACTGAGTACATATAAAGTTGGATGTCCCACTTGTAGTATCTCACTCCATATAACACCTAACTCTTCCACTGTTACATATTTCCATATACCAAAGTCTCTGTTTACTGCTTTCTTATTCCTTAATCTGTACATTTTCACTTGCCGGTACCTAAACCACACACTGTTTACTTTAGAAATCATTCTTTATCCCTTATTCCTAAATCAGGAAACTATCCCGAAACTTATTAATTTTCCTGCCCCAGCTTCATTTTTTTTTCTGACTGTGCCTGACTGTTCAGTAGCATGCAGGAACTTTTCAGGAGGACACAGAACTTTGGCAGAGAAGTAACTAATATCTCTCAGCTGCTCAGATGCTTCTTCTGGGGGTAGCACAATGAAGAACAGCCAGACAAGATGTTTCAGAGGTCTTACAAAGTCGTGCGAGCTAATGTTTCTCAGTTTCTTTAAGAGATGTTGCATAAATGCTTTTAATAAGGAGTCATAATATTTAATTCACAGTTTAACTGTATTTGATTTTACGTCATTACTTATGGTTTATTCTGTGCTAGCTTTCAAAGACCTATATAAAGAAGAAAATAATAAAATCATAGAACGGCTTAACTCAGAGGGGACCTTAACGACGACCTTGTTCCAATCCCCTGCTTGGACAGGTTTGCCACCCATCAGATCAGGCTGCCCTGGGCCCCATCCACCCTGGACTTGAAAGCTTCCAGGCAAGTGGCATCCACAACTTCACTGGGCAGCTGAGCCAGCACCTTACCACACTGAGTAAATCATTTCTTCCTAACATCTACCCTGAATTTCTCCCTTTTAAAACCTTTCCCTTTTGTTATATCACTATCAGAGTTAAAAAAAAAAAAAAAAAAAAAAGTAATAATTTCGCCCATTTGTAGGCTCCCCTTCCCAATGGAATGCCACAACTAGGTCACCCCAGTGCTAAAGTTTCCCGACTGAACAAGCCCAGCTCCCTCAAACTTTCTTCACAGAAGAGGTTCATGCAGCCACTTTTCAAGCCTGTCCTGGTCTCTCTGTATGGTCCCCTTCTTTCACAAACCCTAAAGGCTCATTGGAGAAGACAAACCTGAATTTAATACGCTTGCCTTGTAGGCTCTTGCACGTGACATTCTGACTGAAAAAATATCCTAAAAGTCAGAAAGTTTTGTCTCATACAGATTCTACGGCGCTGAACTGGGTTTACGCAGTGACGTTTTGCGGCGGGGCAGCACAGAGCAGCTGCAGGGATCGCTCCTGTGCCCTACCCCCGGGCAGCCTCCCCACATCGCATCAGAGCCAGCCGCCTCCAAGGGCCCCGCCGCTGCACACAGCCGCCCATCCACCAGCACGCAGCTCCGGGAACGGGACTCGAACGGCTCTCAGCAGTAAGGCAGGAGGAGGCAACGCAAGGCGGATGGAGATGTTCACGGCCACGAGCTACCGAGGCCATGCCTAAGGAAGTCGAACACCCCACCACAGGCGACTCTCAGTCTCCGGAGTAACCCTATAGGCATTAGAACAGCCTCTCCGAGGCGCTCCCTCCTCAAAACAGCGAAACCTCTCGCGCAAAGCCATTTAAATTCGAGCCCTTATCGCCCCTCGCCCGCAGCAAGGTGTGCGGGGCTGGGCGCTGACGTCACGCACACGCAGGACGGACCGAGGTTCGCGCCCGCGTTCCGTTCTCTACCTCCAGCCGCTCGATGCTGCACGCAGGCGCGCTCGCGCCCGCCCCGCCCTCCCCCGCGTGCACGCGCCCGCCCCCTTCCTCTCCCTCCCACGGCGCTGTGGGCTGTGCGCGCCGCCGAGAGCTCCGGAGGGGCGGGGGCGGCGATAGCAGGCTCGAGGAAGGGGAGCGCGGAGCGATCGCTTCCGCCGGCAGCGTGTCCCCGGGGACGGATCGAGGGAAGCCTCTCTCTCCCTTCGCTGTGGTGTTTTTTACGATTTTGGTGTTTTTTTTTTTTTTTTTTTTTTGCTCCGCTCTCCCTTTACTTGCGCGTGAGGTAAACGTGGTGCGCGCTGCCTGCGCTTCAGGTGGGGAAGGAGGGAGAAAGAAAGCGGGCAGGCTCTGCTTCCCCCCGCTCCTCAGCGTCTCTCCGGAGCCCTCCGCGCCCCGCTTCTCCCCGCGGCGAGGTACGCGGCCCCTGCCGAGATGGGCTGCACGCTGAGCGCCGAGGACAAGGCGGCGGTGGAGAGGAGCAAGATGATCGACAGGAACCTGCGGGAGGACGGCGAGAAGGCGGCCAGGGAGGTGAAGCTGCTCCTGCTCGGTAAGGGCGGCCCCTGGCCGGGCCGAGCTCCGGAGCTGTGAGAGCCGAACGGAGGGCGGGGGACCGCGGTCCTCCCCAGGGAGCGGCGGCGGCGGGGCGCGGAAAGGGCGCGCGTGGCTCCTCGGAAGCGTTGGGGGCGAAGGGGGGAGCGCAGGTGGGCGCGGCGGGGCTGCAGGCCGGGCCGGGGAGCGGTTCCGAGAGGCTGGGGCTTTGTTTAGAAAAGGCGCCTGCTCCGCGTGAAGGGGGTGAGATCTTGAACTTCTGATGTGGGTTCTGGGTACTTCGGTTCCGAGGAAGAGCTTAAGGGAATTTCAGGTTGGGAGATGTTTGTTTCGTGTGGAACGTCCCCTTCTGAAGCGTCGGTGTAAGAGTGAAGTGGAAGAAGCGTCAAAGGAACACGAGGCACCGTCTGACTTCTTGCATTGTTTTGTTTTGGAAGTTGGTTACGTTGCTGAACTTGTACAACGTAAGGTCAAACCTTGACGGGTTACAAAGTGTGTAATAGGGCGGATCACTGGAATAGGGCGATGAGGAGCTGCACAGAGAAGCTGTGGATACCCAACCTCAGGAGGTGGTCAGGGCGGGTTTGGATGGGGCCCGGGTATCGATCTGGTGAGCATCAGCCCTGTGCACGGCAGGGGGTTGGCACTGGATGGCCTTTGAGGTCCCTTCCAGCCCAAGCAATTTCACAGTTCTGTGCCATCAGGTCTTCCAGATTTTGCTCACAAGTTCCTGGAGCTAGCAGCTTTGCGTATTTTAAGTGATATGTTTGTGTATAAAGATAAATGAAGTAAAATTACTGCTAAAAATCACTATGAAAGGAGAAGCAATATTTAAATAGAAATGCCTTTGTGCAGATCTAAAACTGTTGTGTGTGTTGTGGGCAGCTGAATCCTGCAAGACGTATTGTATTGATGTTATGGGGAGTTTTGTGTTATGCTTTATAGCTTAACTGCACTGGATCCTTTTAACCCATATTTTTAAAAAATAAATACATACAAAAAAAATTTGGAGTTTCAATTTTCCTTGTGCAGCTACAGAGTTCCAAGCATGGTTTCTGGTTTTTGAAATACTACCCAATTTTCTCTCCTCCATAAATTTGTTTTCCTTGAGTGGAGCATTCTGTTTAGTACAAATCTTGCTGTAGTAGAACTCAGTAACTTCTGTCTGTTGCAAACTTGTAAAATAGCTCCAAACAGGTACAGGGAACTGAAGCACTTCCCTCTGTGTTTATATGAAGAAACAAAGCAAGCTAGTATGGTAAAGCAAACTTCTAAAAAATGTATGTACAGATTTAAAATTCTGCATATGAGGGGAAGAAAGCTTTTCTCTTCTCTTTGCTTTCCAGAAAGTGTTAGGCTGTTGGTTGGTACTGTGCTTAGTCCTGTGCAACTTTGTAAGCCTGGAGTCTGTTGCGTGGGAAGGTTAGCCTCTGATCAGCACTGCAGAAAATGTCCTTTTTCAAGAGATGCAGAGTACTGGTTTGTGTATGCTCTGACAAGGCACTAGAAATAATTTTTCAGAGTTTTGCTGTTCTGTACTGAACTTTAAATAGACATAGGTAGTCGTTACGCTATTCTGTAAATGTGGATAATGTCTTCTATAAAATTTGCATTAAACTTGAGAATGAGCTGTTTTCGGTGGCTTAATATTCTTGTGTACAAATTTATATGCTGGTAGCTTTATACTTGAATTCTTTCTGATACAGATAAGCTTTTGAGGAATTTGTTTTCTGCTGTAGTCTACTGAAATCTCAGGAAATGAAGTTAATGCTCAAATACATGCATTTCCTCACCTTACGACTCAGTGTAGTATTTCCCTTCAACTATTAAAAAGTGAAAATGAGCAGATGAAGAATTTCTAGGGCCAGAGCTCAGAGTAAGGCTTTATGTATACATCTATGGATACATTTATGTATTTCAGATCCTAACGGAAGCTTTTCTGTTCAATTTCCTGTGTTAGCTGTCCTAAATGTTATATGAATGCTTTATCTGATGGAAAAACTATTTTAAGTTACTTCCACTAGTCATTTTCTTCTTGCCACTCATTTTCCCAATTGCTTTTTCTGCCCATATGTTGTAGTTTGTCATCAACTCACTTGTATTCCTGCATCTATTTATGGGCTTGTTCTACTAAAAAGATGCTGAAATAAAAGGAAAAGAACAAGTTGTGGTCTGCTGACAGGAAGATATGCCATGTGAGAGGCATCTGAAATACCTTGCTTATGTAGAAACAGTGTGTAGCTCTGTGCTGAGTACTCAGTAAGGCAGTTGTACTTCAGGATCTGTAAAAACTATTTCTGTATGGTGATTAGAGAATCCTAGCGAAACTTGAATTACTTAGTGTGTTAACTGGAGGATAGGTTTATAAAATTAGTCTGTTTCTGGCTTACAATGGAATTAAAATAAAAAGCTTTTCTGAAGGTTTTTCTAAGCCAGGAAGTATCATTGATTAGAGGGAGCTGTGATACTGCTGTGCGTAAACCATGACTTTGTGAATAGTATCACTGATCTGTGGCAGATTCGTGTTTTGTTCTGTATCTAGGAAGAAGCAGTCATATTCAAGCTGTTCTAAATGCTGTTGGTTTGAGTTGTCTAACTTTTTGAAAGCATACTATCTGTAAATTGGTGCTGCATTTTGTACAGGTTTGACTGTAGATCATGCTTCTGTTCTTGGAATGAAAGTATTGGATTTGGACCAATATCTGTGAAAAATATTTTAACCTTGTAATTCACTTCAATGTTATATGCTAACAGCAGTAGAACCTTCTCTGGAAAACTTGAAAACCATCTTTGTTATTAGAAATAAGCTGAACTTCAGCACATAGCTTAATGAGCCAGCTGGAAAATGTTTGTGTATGGAGCTTGGTGATTTTTTTTTTTTTTTTTTTTTAGTTGTAAATTATTAAATAAGCTGCTTTCATTTAAATGGCTTTTATCCATATGTCTCCTGTTTGTGATGAAGGGTTTTTTTGAGTTTCCATGAAGTGTAAGTGCAGTCCAGTATGATGTCCAGTGCTGAAAAATTTAACATTCCAAGTACTTTTCCTTAAGCCCTTAAAGTTTGTGTCACTGGTATTTCTTAAACCTGTTTCATGATTACTTGAGGTAATGCTTGTTTCTTTCTCAAAGATAGGCTCATGTATCTATAGGGTAAACTATATTTCTGAAAAACTGCGTATCTTCTATCTTGACTGCCTTCCAAGAGAGGGAAGCAAAGGAACCAAGTTTTTCTCTTCTGTGGTGATTTTTTTTTTTTTTAATTTCTGTGTTTGGAGTAGGGGGAGGATGTGAAAGAAATACTGTGATGCTTGCAGAATGAGTGTAATTCTACTCATTTTGGGAGGTGGTGGCTCTTTGTAACTGGTCTGTGTGCTGCATTAATATACATGTGATCCAGATCAGGTGTGGATTTGCAAGTACGTTTCAGTTGAGTTAGCCAAAGCGCATAAGACTGAATTCAATGCCAACAGCAGGAGAACAGACAGTACCTCATTTAGTAGAAAGCCTTCTGGTATGAGGTTAACTCATTGAGTTTTATGAATACATTCAAACTGGCAGCATGAGTTTACAGGATTAACACATTTGTCTTGTGGATCATCACATTTTTTATCTAATACAATAAATTAAGTGCTGATGTTCTCAGTATCACTGGAGAAGGCAATATTCCTATTCTTTAGGAGAGGGTTCTGGGATCCACGAGGCCACTGATTATGTGTGACAACTGAAGTTGTCTTCTTTCTGGATAGTCAGGCTTCCAGGGCCTTTGTAGTCAGGACCAGCAGAGCTTCTACATCCCTTATCAGATTTTTATGGTTCACACTCAAACACTGTTGCCATGTTCGTAAAAAACCTATTTTTCAGTTTAAGGCAGAGAATTCCTTTTTTTTTTTTTTTTTTTTTTTAATTGTAGTTCTCCCTGCTGCTGAAGGCACTAACTAAAATTATATTCAGTTCTAAATTTTCCTTTCTCAAACATTTTTTTCAAACTGCTGTTCTTTTGTTCCAGACCTTCGTATTTCTGCTCAATTGACTCCCACTGCATACTCATCTTTCCCGCAGTGTCATCTTCACAGTCCTTGGCAATACACGCTTTCCTCCAGACCTGACTGCATAATGGACTGAAAAAAAAAATATATATATGTATGTGTGCATTATGTACCATTAATTTTCTTGCCTTTCCTCCAGTGTTTTCTTTCTCCGTACTCAGATAGATGTCTCAGTTACTGGAGCTCTCAAAGCCTTTTTCTCACGAACATATATTGCACCTTTCAGGAATTCTTACATTTTCTTTCTAAGTTATGCCAACCTCTGTTGTAGTGGTCCAAAATATCCCTGGAAACATTTCCTGCCTGACCTTCAGTCACAACTATCTGTAGAATTTAAGTTCAAATTTAGTTTAAGAATTTGTTACAATATAACTTAGAAGTGTTTAATTTTACTTTTGGTTTATTATAGAATATTCCATTTGCAAGTGACCTACAAGGATCAACTCCAATTGCCCAACTATTTCAATGGCATCCACAAGATAAAATATATTAAGGGCATTATCCAAATGCTTCTTGAACACTGTTGGGTCTGAGGCAACAATCACCTTGCTAGGAAGCCTGTTCTGGTATTTGACCACTGTCACAGTAAATTTTTTTTTCCTCATGTCCAGTCTGAATCTCCCTGTGTGCAATTTTGTGCAGTTTACTGGGGAGAAAAGAATTGCTGAGGACGAGAAAAAGAGGAGCCAGTTGCACAGAACAATGTCATTGTTGCTTCTCCTTTTCTCCAAGCTGGGCAACCCAAGCATCCTCAGCCTCTCATCATGGGGCTTGCCTTCCACCCCATTTAACCGGCTTTGTTGCCCTCTGCTCCAGAGACATTTGATGACCTTAACATACTTTTTATATTATGGAACCCATATAGGCACACAGTATTTGAAGTGAACCCACAGCAGTGCTAAATGTAGTGGGAGAGTTACCTCTTTGGACTGGCTGAGTAGGGTGTTTAATG